TTTAACCCTTCGTGCTCAGTCGGTCCGGCTTCCCGATCTAGTTCTCCTGTGCTGGCGGATGAATCCCAGCATTCCCTTCTCCGAGCTGAGGAGGAGCTGCCTGCCTGTTTTTTAAACAGAAGTAGAGGAACTGAAATACTTGGCTGCTGGTTGTGAGTCGTGGGAAAGCGTAGCTTCTCCGAGGAGAAAGCCTTTTCTCTGGATACCAAGGGATGCCGCCTTCTGCAGGTCCCCTCTGCTCCGCTTCAGTGTCTCGCGCAGAAACACGGTGCGTTTCAAAGACCGCTGCGGCAAACGTCCCTCTTAGCCTCGTGTCGACGCGTTCTGAAGTGAAAAGGCAGAGTTCAGGGCGGCTGCAGCCCGAGCGGAGGTGCGGTGTCAGCAGGCGCCTGCCCGGTTGATGGCAAAATCCCTTTTCCTCCTCCTCGTTTCCGTGCCGCGCGGTTCGGCGTCCTTCGGGCGGCCAGCCCCGAGGTGCGCTGCGCGCCCACCCGTTCCCTCCGTCAGACGGAGCACTGCGGAATGCTGCAGCCTATCGATACCGCTTTTAGTGAAGTTAATCTGTTTAATCACTTTTCGAGCTAATTGTTGATTCAGGAATGGGAGGGGATTTGTAGCTCCATTGATTTAGGGGTTTTGGGGATTAGGGGATTGTTAATCACGGCGGTGACGCGGTGCGGACTTTAATTGACTACAGCGACCTCACGATGAGGTGTGTCAGTTCGTGCAGGTGTGTCCCCCTCCCCTTGGTGGCTTCGTAGGGGGATGGTTATCCGAAGGGGATGCCGCCCGGGCACGGGAAGGAGGGCGGCGCCCTGGCTGCCGCAGGTACGCCCTCCCCTGATGGCTCCGCTCTCCCCGTCCTCTCCCCGCAGGCAAGTCGGAGGTGGAGCAGTGGTCCGACATGTACACGGTGACCAGCCAGCTGGTGCTGAAGGTGGGACGGGAGGACGACGGGGTCCCTGTCGTCTGCTTGGTGGATCACCCCGCCGTCAAAGACCTGCAGACGCAGCGTTACCTCGAAGTCATGTGTGAGTAGCAGAACTCTCCGTCCTCTCGGCATGTGAAATTGCTCACTCGAGGGTTCAGGAACCGTTTGCTGCGTGATAGATCTGTAGCATAGATGGGGTTTGTATCCCCTTGTTTAAAAATGAGAATGCCAGGTGCCACTTCCCGGGATAAGCCGTGACTTTTCCCAGCCCTCTGTGACACAATGAATACGTGCTTTTCTCCTCTTAAGGAATAGCCTTCTGAACACGGAATTTGAACTTCTGAACATGGAATTTGTACCATCAGAGGTTCCCAGCTGGGCTTTCGATGGTCAGGACAGATTAAATCTCAGCATTTTTCTTTTAGCAACCTACTTATCTCTTTGGAAGGTGCTTCTCTACCGCCACGTCAAAGCGACCGGCCACTGCTGCCAGTTTACTGGCCGAGGCTTGGTGCTGTGCGGGAGAAACTCGGTGTTGCGCCTTGTGAACCTACAGCAGCACCTGGTTTTCTACATCAGAGTGACCCGAGTCGTGGGGAACCTGTCATAGCGCCGCTGATTAAGGCCGACCTCTTTTCTCTACTGCTCCTAACGAGTTCAGCGTTAATAATGCAGCTCACCTTGCCGAGGAGCCGCTCTACTGCCGCTGGCGTTTGCGAGGCGTACGAGCAGGTACCTGAAAGTACCCGTGGCCCCCAGCACAGCGCAGGCGTGCCTGGCAGATCGGGGGGAGAGCACGGAGCTGCCGCTTACGCAGACCCGAAAATTGGGTCCCATGGGCAGAGTCCTGGCCGGGCTGGCCTGGAAAGCCGGCGTGCCGGGATGATTCCATGGGCTTGTTTCTGCAGGTTCACTCCAACTGGAGCATTGCATTCACTGGGGAAGAGGGAGTCTTGTATTAATGTATTTCATCTGCTTCATTATGTAGTTTCATTACGAACATCTTGGTTACAATCCTCCTATCTCCGAAACTAGCGGGAAGTAATGTTCCTGTAAGGAGGAAAACAGAAGCCATCAGATGCAGCCCAAATTGGCAGATCCCAGATTTCTTGCGAGCGTGCTAATGTGTAATTCATTTATGCAAACCTAACGTCCATTAACATTTCTTGCAGAGCTCCATTAGCTTTAATAATACATTAGCACCTTTGTGAGGCTTGATCAAATACTTAACGGGGAGGGGAAAAATCCCATCTCCCCTTGATGTGGAGGTGTTGGGATTTGCCGGGTTTCTTCCTCTTGCTTGGAAGGGCATCAGATGGCTGTTTAGGCAGGAATTCCTTTGACATCCTGACCGTGGGATGCGACAGGAGAGGACCAGTCTGTCTGCAAAAAAACTATGACGACGTTCTTCCCATTCTTCCTCAAATGAATCCCTCCTGGACTGCTTTCGTTAGCAGCCCTCGCGGGGTTCCCCGTGCAGCGAAGGCAAGGCACTGGCAGACGCCATTCCTTGGACGTCCTCCGGGCTGTGTGCCGTCTCTGGCTAACGCGTCGGAGCCTCCTGGGGCACCCGTTCCACAGTTTCTGCCCTTAGCACGGATTTTTGTCTGCCCTTGGGTTGTTCTAGAGCCGTTTGTCAGGACTGACCTAGCGCAGAGCCCCCTCGGAAGGGCATGGGGACGAGTCTGGCTTTCGGATGGTTTGGCTTTGTGTTCGGGTCTGAGTTAAACTCTGAGCTTGTTAAAAGTAATTATGTTGACGTATGGGGACCCGACCTGCGTTATTCCAGGGAGGCCTTTCAGCGGGCAGCAGCAGATGGCTGTGGGGGGGTGGGTACCAGCCGAAGAACGTGGTGTGCGTCATAACCCGCCGGCGCCCAGCCCCGAGCACTTTCGGGACTTGGCCTGCTGGAACGCGGCCAGACGTTTGCGTTTCGTACCTGCTGCCGGACCTGAACTCGGGGCAGGGGAGGCAGTTACAGGGCCAACTGTTACCCTTCGGCTTCTGCTTCCAGCTGGTGATGTCTGGGCAATGGGAGAGCGTGAGCAGGAGGAAAATCCTCTTGTCTTCACGGATGGGCATCTCCATCAGCGCTCCGGTGGAGACGGGCTTGGCCTTTGGGGGAACCTGGCCTCCTGCCGTCAGATCTAATCGACTGCGTCCAGCTCTGGGGCCCCCAGATCAGGACACAGACCTGTAGGAGTGAGACCAGGCCACGGAGATGCTCCGAGGGCTGGAGCCCCTCTGCCATGGGGACAGGCTGGGAGAGTT